GGCCAAGGAGGAGAGAGGGAGGGGAGGAAGGGGGGAGAAGGGAAGGACAAGGGGAGAAGGAGGGGGAGGGTGTGGGAGAGGGGGAGGGAGTCGGAGAGGGGGAGGGAGTCGGAGAGGGGGAGGGAGTCGGAGAGGGGGAGGGAGTGGGAGTGGGAGTGGGAGAGGGAGAGGGAGTGGGAGAGGGAGTGGGAGAGGGAGTGGGAGAGGGAGTGGGAGAGGGAGTGGGAGAGGGAGTGGGAGAGGGAGGGAGTGGGGCGTGGGAAGAAAGGTGGGGGAGGAAGGAAGACGAAAAGGGGGGAGAGTAGGAAGATAAGGGGTAGGAGAAAGAAATGGAAGGGGAGGGAATGGAGACAAGGGGAAGGGAGGGAGAGGAGGAGGAGGAGGAGGATACGAGGAGGAAAAAAAGGAATTTTGAAAGGGGGGGAGAGAAAGAGGCGAAGGGGAGGGAAGGGAAGGGAAAGAGAGGGGGCAGGGGGGGGAGGGCAACTGGTTCATATTACGAGGTGCCAGACATGGGATAGCAGTGAGGATTCGGAGGGGATTGAAAGGGGGGAGGAGGTAGAGGGGAGGGATAATTGGAGAAACAGGGAAGGAGCAGGTGCCATGATAAACGGAAGGGGAGAGGGGGGGGGTGGAACAGCTAGTACTGAACCCCTGGGAATGGGGCGGAATAAACGAGGGGAAAACAGTGAGGGCGGAAGGAGACGATGAGGGGAAAGGGGAGGGGAGGGGGTTGATGGGAGAAGGGGAGGGGAGGGGGTTGATGGGAGAAGGGGAGGGGAGGGGGTGATGAGAGAAGGGAGGGGGTGGGTGATGAGAGAAGGGGGGAGGGGAGGGAGGGCAAAGTGAGGTCACACGCGCTCTTACTAATTCGTGCTGGGCTGAGGGGGTGCCATGGAGGGCGCGGGTGCCACCTGGCCGGTCATCTGGGTTGTCGCGAGCGGGTTAGACATGAAGGGCGGCAACCTGCAACGAAGACGTGCGTGTTGGGGTCACAGATATCCGATCCGGGTCGGAGGTGGCGCCCTCGGTCCGGTCCGGCTGCTAAACCTGATTTGAGCCGCTCGCGTTTGATGGTGGCGGGCCGTCTCCTCACACTCGGCGTCCAACGACAGCACAGTAGATTCGGACATGGTAACTTTCTTGAACTATATTATAATCTAGTTTGGCTTACCCCATGCATGTGTTTTATTAGTCTTTCCATTCCACGCACCTGATACTTTTTTTTTTTTTTAATCGAAAAAACGGACGAGACAACTATTACTCTAAAACCAGGCTTACCCCACCCCCCTCCTGCTTCAATCCCCATCTTATCTTTTCCTTGAGCATTTCAAGACGTTCTACTTCCTTTGACAAGACCTAGAGAGCCAGGCTGAAGGCTCTCCCGTCCTCCCAATAACAACTTTATGGACGCCACACCAAGCGAAGCCTAGGCTAAAAATACACCTCTCCTGGCCGTCGTCTTGAGTCTGTCCCTAAGCATTTCCATCTATCAGTTCACCCCTTTTCATCTAATCTATCTGTCTCCCTGTTGAATGTATTTTTACGAGTTCACATTTATCAAATACACGAATAAATAGAGCGAAGTGAAAAGACTCGGTTCTCAGTAAGCAACTATTTTCGGTTGAATGAACACACTTTTCATTCAACTCCAACTCATGTCCCAGGCCCCACCCTTCTGAACTTCCCCTCTGCAAGTGCTAATTCATCGCATATCCTGTCATTTCCATCAGTTACGTGTATCTGGAAAGACTTATTTATACGTCTCTGGAGCTGTCACGTTAATCATGTTATAGGCCTAGCACTAGAAAAGGTTACCAGAGATTATTACCATTTCCCGAGGAATTAATCGTTACTTTCTTAACCTGGTTAAAGGAGATTATATTAATGCGTTATGCTTCCTATCAACCTAGAATTCACGAAAATTCATCCACCTCTCTTCGCTCAAAACAACAAAAAATACGTAGGCCTATGTAAACACCAAAACACACCTATAGACAACACACATGTAATAAATTCACCTCATTATAATCTAACAAAAAACGCATCACACACACACTAGTTCGAACTTGACTAATAATGAATGCGTAGCTGAACTAGATGATTTTACCTGGAGGAAGTGAGCATTGAGCGCTGGAAGAGAGACGATTCCCGATTCATCAGTTCATTACGGAAGCGAGCCATCTCATCTTCCATCTTCTTCATTTCACTGTCGAATTTCTCCCGAATGGAATTGAACTCCTGGTCGATCACGCTGAAGTCTCCCAGTTTGACGGGAATGTGCTTGAAGCCCTCCATTTTTTTATGTAATAAGTTTGTTTATTCTGTTAAACTTAGCTGCCGATTCGTCTCTTCCTCGCGTGAAGGAGCCTGGATGGGGAATGGGAGGGCAGACACGCAGGTCTTCACTCCGTGGCTGCTCAACACACACTGACGTAGTTGTGCTTTTGGCGACGAACACGCCGGCGTCCGTGTGTTTTGTATTCGCATCCGTCGCTGT